CGTCTTCCTTGTGCATCCGTCCTCGTTTGAAATGGCGGTGAATGTGGCATTGAATGCCAAATTTATTTTCAAGTCAGCACGACTTGGTTGGAATGCACACTCCAACAGCTAGTCGAGCGGGCCTATGCCCATGGATCTCAGCTATGCCGAGGACGAGGGAGCAGAGCTCAAAGCTGCCGGGCAGCACGCTAACACACGACGGTGTTTTGTCTGTGGAGACACCCTTCACCTGCGGAATGGTTGTCCCCTGCGCAAGGCGCGTCAAGGTTCTTCGAACCATCGTCCCAACACCTACCAGTCTGGTTTGTCGCGGGGAAACGACACCACTCAGTAGGTGCGGGGCGACCAACTGGGGGAGAACTGAGTTCTGTTGAGCCTCAGGGAGGCATAGATCAATAGGGCCCAGCTCCGAAGAGCTCCGTGCTCTTGAACACGGAACGTGTATGCAGGCCGGGCTTGCTGGTCGTGGAGGCGACCGTAAAGGGCTTCGAGAAGCCATGTTAAATCCTCATCGATTCCAAAGCGTCGGAAAATTATGCTCGATGCTCCACGATGGAAGGAAGTCAGCTGTACGCTGAGACGCTGAATGCGCGGTTGGGTGACATCGTCACTGTTCGCTTAGCGACGGGGACATGTGTCACGGTCCTAAAGGTCCCTGTAGACCTCGGTGTCAAGTTCCTTGACTTTGATAGCGTGGAACGCGGTCTAGCCTTAGACTTAGACGCAAGGTATGACCTCATTCTAGGAATGGAATGGTTGGAACACCATGAGCCACGGATTGATGGGAGGTCAAAGACCTTGAGCGCTACGCGCACGTCTCCTGATGGAGCTTTGGCGAGTCATGTACTCACCTCTGCTAGGAGACAATAGCGCTATTGGCGAGAGCACTAGACCGAGACGGTCAACGTGCTAGACATTGGAATGTCCGAGTTGGTAAACATCAACGGTGAATTGAACAGGAGTCCCGAGCGTGGCTTGCGGGCCGATCGTGGAGTGGCACGTATCCCACTGAGCGCTGCTCAAGTTTTGGAGCAGTCGCTGCATGTCTTGCGTGACATGGTCGGCCAAGGGCCGAGGCATCGAGGGCGAGGCCCCCGTGATGCACGTGAAGTGGCACGTAAACCACTGAGCGCTGCTCGAGTATCAAAGCAGTCGCTGCATGTCATGCGTGACTTGGTCGAACCGAGTCCGAGGCATCTTCGGCACGGCCCTTCAGATGCAACACTGAGCACTGCTCTCGTTGCGAAGCAGTTGCTGCATGCCATTGATGGCGTAGTCGGACAGAATCCGAGGCATCTTGGACACGGCTCTTCAGATGCGCCTGGAGTGGCACGTTATCCACTGGACGAAGACTGCGGGGTCAGCAGTTCTTCGTCGGATGTTGTAGATAACATCGGAGCTCCGAAGGGGCGGAAAGTGAGGGTGACACTGGACGACGTGGAATGCGTGATCACTTTGGTCTCACCGAGACATAGAACCTCTGTACAGAGGCGACGGCGACGCCGTAT